AATCCCAGCACTTCAGGGATATAGAGGCAGGTGGATATCTGTGAGTTCAAGGCCAGCCTGGCCTACATAGTGAGTTCCAGGCCAGCTAAGGCTACATATGGAGACTCCATCTCAAAGAAATAAATTGGGAGTCACAAAGGGGGTCACTAGTAGAAAACCTTTAAAAAGCCCTGCTGTAAAGCACTTGGAACAGTGGTCAAAGGTAGCAGGCTCTCAAAAGGGTGAGATAGTCAAGGGTTACCAAGGGCTGGGTGCCTGCACAGCCTCACCTGTTCTGTGAACCAGCGATGCATTCAGACCTATGAATGCTCTGTATGACCCACCTGGCAACCTCCTCCATCACTGCCTCCATCTTTACTAGGCTGCTCTGTCTCAGTTCTGCCCTATACCAGCCCTGATCTTGATTTTCTTTTTCTTTCCCCTCTGGTTGTATCTGAGCTCCATCACCCAGGTTTTCACTGGTGTTGGGCAGGATCTTGAATGTTGAAATTGCAAAAACTAAAAATCCTGAAAGTCAGGCTGGGAAGATGACTCATTGGTAGGGTTCTCACTGTAACCAGCATGAGGATGTGAGTTTGGATCCCAAGCACCCACATAAAATCAGGGCATTGTGGTACATGCCTGCAGCCCCAGTCCTGGGGACAAGAGGTGTGCAGATCAGGTGGATCCCAGGGGCTTGCTGACCAGCTACTCTAACCAAAGTGGAGAGCTCCAGTTCAGTGAGAGACCCTGCCTCAAAAAATTAGGTGGAGAGTGACTGAGAGAGATGCCCAGTAGTGATCTCTGACCACCATATGTTGTGCATGCACGGGCCAACATACTACAAAGAAACACACACAAACACACACACACACACACACACACACACACACACACGCGCACACCAAGTCAGGTCATCACTGTGTCCAGTTGCCCCAAAAGTCAAGAAACCATACAAAGAAAAATGGGGAGGAGGAGAAAAATAATCATGTGGACAACTTGAAACAGCAGGAAAAAAATTCAAAAAAGAATAAACAGAAAAAATTTAAACACAGAAAGAAAATTTGATCTCTGAAAGTTTCAGAGCTGGTGACTCAGACAGTCATTGACCATATTTTGAAGTCTTCCATCATGATGAATAACTGCTTATATTCTATTTGGGTCAGGCAGCACTGGTACTCAAACAGCGACACCCTTGCATGAATGTCTTTCTTCCCTACCTCCATATAATTATGTTTGAGCCAGTCAGTGACCTCACTGGCTTCTTTGAGCAAATGTGGCCTTGATTGATTCAGAGCTCCTGGGGTCTCACAAGCAGGAGGAAATACAGAGGGCAAGTTCAAACTCCAGTTTTGTCTCTGCAAACCCATGGCCAACCACTCTGCTGGATTCTCTGCCAAGAACACTGGGCTGAAGGAAAAGCTGACTTTACTGATGACATCTTGAAACTCACCTTTAAGAAGCCTTGTTCGTTCCCTATGGTTTTGGGGGATTCTATGGCAATCCACTTTCTTTTGTGGCAGGGTATTTGCCTGGCATGCATGAAACTCTGAGTTTAATTTCCAGAAACACACACACGCACACGCACGCACACATGCACACGCACACACACATGCACACGCACACAGAGAAAAAAATTAAAAAGCAAAGCAAAACCTTCATCGAATATGATTTTGAAAGCGCCATCCACCAGCCAAGTGGAGCAGGTGCTAGTTTCTGTTATGTATCATTCTCTAGATTAACTAATGAATTAATGGGACAGGATCTCACTGTGTTACACAGACTGATCACAAATGGCTGGGCCAGACACAAGCCATTTTCCTGCCTCAGCCTCCTGAGTAGTTGAGCCCACAAGAGTGTTCCAGGGCACCAGCTGTTAGTTTTTCTATTACACTTAGTGGTGCATAGATCTGTATCTTCTTTGAGGGTCCAGTCCCTAAGCAAGAGCAGTCAGCCACCAGCACGTCTTGCAGCATTAGAAGACTAGCCTGTGTCCTTGGTTCAGATACTGAGGGTCAAAAAGCTCCCTGATGAAGGTAGTTCTTTTGAAGGACAGCATGGTACTGCTTATGAATGGTCATAAGCAGTACTTGGGTAAACTATTCGGTGACTCTCCCTGGATACAACTGAAACCGCAGAATTTGGCTGGCTACCCCTCCTATGTAGCCTGTCCCCCATGGAATTGTGGAATTGCAGATTTGGGAACTTTGGCTTTTAGGATTTCCACTTTGGGGACTGCTCTGAGCTGGCTCAGCTGGTCTTCCTGAGTCTGTGTCATTATACTATCCAGCCACAGCCTTACCTCCCCAAGACCCTAGACACCTCAGACCTGTAGTTCACAGCTCACAGCTTCTCTGGGCTCCACATGTATGCATGTGCTTCCTGTCAGCACTCCTTCCTGCCACGCAACATGGTCATCTTATGAAGCCTGTGTCTGTGAACTGTCCTTCCTTGACTCACACTGAATTCTTCCCTAAGGACCTACAATTCTACGGCCAGGAAGGCTGGGCCACAGAAAGACTGGAGCTCCCAGATAGGGTCTAGGCTTTGTCCCCTCATGCTTGCATTGCCAGGTGATGATGACCACGTTAACAATGGATGAATGAGTGGGTCTCAATGGCCGTGGGCAGGGTGCTCACAGTGCATAGAGGCAGTGAAGAGCTCACCTTGTCCAGGTCACTCCACCCTTGGGCACACGTTCAGCTGGTATGACAGTGTCTCGGAGGGAGGAGACATCAGATCTGCAGACAGATATGGGTTCAAATCCACCTCCGCCTGTATCGTTGCCTACCTCCACAAAGCAGGTGCATGGTTTCCGGGTCCCTGGCTGCAAAGTGATATGACTCTTCTAACTCATAAGTTGTCAGGATTCAGGGGGACAGCACAGCGCACAGCAGAATGACTGGCATATACCAAGCGCAGGGTGGGTGTTAGGTGCCACCTAAAGGTAATCCAGGATAAGGAGCTGGATTAGGTCATCACTTGTCTTCCGTTCATCTGCAGATGGGTTTAGGTTAGGGGTCAGCACAAAGGAAACCTAAAGAACTTCTGATATCCCTCTATTCCAGCTGCTCCATGCCATGACCCGCCCTGGCACCCATGCACAAAATCACCACTGCCTACCTGCACGAGTGGAGGGAAATGCACACTGTCCTGATGAGGGCACCCAAGTCCCCTGTCCAGTATCCTGCCCCAGCCCCTGCTAGGTGTAACACACATATCACGGGTGTTGGCACAGGATCAGGCAATGAGGGCCACGGGCCAGATCCACTAGTTTCTGTTCCGGTTGATATCCACACTGGCTGCCACTCTATTGGCAGGTGGCTTCCCCAGGGTGCTTTGTTGTGGCTAACCTGGGCTAAGCATGGTTGCACTCTGTTTGCACACCAGATGAGGATGTTGGCAGTCAGAGTTTAAGGAGCGGTCTTGTTTGCACAACAGTGATTCAGAGCTGTGCCAGGATGGCTGCCAGCTCAGCTTATCTCCTTGCCCAATTGAGCTCGGCACTGGGAGGGAAAGGGCGGCCCTTTATTCAAAAGCATAAGTTGATTCCGTCCTGGCAAAGGGTTCCCAGGATCTTTTGGTCTCAACTCCAGGCCAAAAGAAAGAGACCTGTACTTGGCACCCTCACGACAGGCCTCCGGGAAGGTCTGGGCAACTCATATCCAGCTGTCCCCCAAGGCTAAGGGTGAGGTCACCAACTATGGGGAATGGGAAAAGCTCTTCCGGTGCGGGACATCCTGGTGGGTGGGAATGGCAGGAAGGGGCAGACTTTATGTTGCTTACCTAGGCCCTGGGAGGGAAGAGGGGACCCTGAGCAGAAAGGGGGATGAAGGG